ATTGATTGTCGAAGTTCTAATGTTAAACAAGTTTAAAGGAACAGGGGCTAAGCAATTATTTTTCGAGAATTTGACTTATCAATAATCATACATTTTGATAAAGTATTTATCTTTGAATCATAAATTGAACATTTTTTGTTGGAGAAAGTATAAATGAGTTATTTTCTTCTTTGTCATGGTTTGATGTATGCTTGAATTGCTTGATAGGGTGTTAAGCTTTAACTGAGAAAGCTTGAAGGAGCTGTGGAGGCCATTTATGATAATGTACTTAACCTTGATGAGATGCGGAGGCTTTCAGGGAGAACTTGTACTTAACCTTCATAAGAGTATTGATGCTAATCTAATTTAATATTTAATACCAGAAAACAAAAGGTTTTTTGTATTGATAAACTTAGATAAGAGTGATTCCAACCGATCAAGAGAGAGACATAACAGATTAAATGATGGATACAAAAGAAAACCTATGATGAATGAAAGATCTAACTCATACTACTTTTGTGTGTTGTGACAATGTGAGTGTTATGTATTTAGCTTCCAACCCGGTTTAGCACTAAAGAATCAAACATGTGGAAATAGATTTATATTTTGCGAGAGAACGTGTTGTCATTAGTCAGGTTCGCATTCTGTATGTTTTATCTACTCACCAATTTGCAGACATCTTCACCAAATGACTACATATACACTTAATTATTTATTTTCGTAACAGTTTAAACATTCATGAATCTCCGGCTCAAATCAAGGGGGAGTATTAGCACATGCCGTTTAACATATAGTGTAGGTTTATTATATATACTAATAGTATAGGGTCCTTTTTCGTAAATATATACCTACATTTGTGTATTTATACTGTGGGAATGCAATACAGACTCTATGAGGGTATTCACATATTTATTATTATTATTATTATTATTATTATTATTATTTTGCATAGTTATAAAAATACATATATCAAATAATATATTTTTCTAATAAATAATATAATTAAGAGGATGTTATAAAAATGTTATTGAGAAGAGAATATAAAATAGATTGTTATAATAGATACATAAATAGTTAAATAATATTAGGTGATTATAAAATGATACAAGTAAAACATATAAACCAACAATATAAAATAGTGAAAGATTTACAATATAAAATAGTGAAACATTTCATAGGAAAGTTTTGGATATATCTAGTGAAGGTTATTTTGAAAATCACATATATTATGTGACGTTGGAATTGTTTACGAACTCTCACAATATTTATCATTTATATACGTACCATCCTAACTCTAAACTCTCACAATATTTATCATTCATATACATATCATCCTAACCCTCGCATCTAAGACAATAATCTTTTATTTTAATTAACGTATACTCAAGTCTTCAAGTATATACATTAAAAGTTTCAACTCATAATTTATTTACTATACTCATATTTATATATCAACTTGAATATTTAAAAATTATAGCTATATAATACATTAATTTAGTATCACTATTGGTATTAGTTTAAAGATATTGACGAAATTTAATAATATAATATTTAAAAGTAATTTAAGTTATATAGTTCTAATAAAAACTAAAAGGATAATATTATAAAAGCCTAAATTTTTAACGCATAATTGGAAAAGACAATGATATTTTTTTTATTATTGTTGTGGTCACAACTTTTTTGCAGAATTATCACTTTAACCCATTTAACAAGTTTCATGGTTAAGTTGGTTAATTTTTTTGCAAAATCAGTCCTAAAAAGTTCAAATTTAGTCTATGAGGTTTGAAAAAAATTATACCACATGGTTTTTTAACTTTATTTTTTGTTTTTTTATATTTTATTTATTTTAGTTTTTTTTTATAAATATATGTATATTTTTTATTTTCTTTATATATATATATATATATATATATATATATATATATATATATATATATATATATATATATATATATATATATATATTACTTATTTTCATTTTTTAACTTTATTTTTCAGCAATTTTTTAAAAACCTTTTTACCTTTTGTTTTCTATTTTTTAGTGTATATATAGAGTATATTAAAGTTTTTTTTTTTAGGTTTTTGCATATTTCTTTTCGTATTATATTTTATTTTTTTCATCTTTTTATTTTATTATTTTTTTTCTTATTTGTTTTCCAATTATTTGTTTTTTTTTTTGTATTTTTATCTTTTTATTGATATTTTTCAAAAAATATAAAATGTATTAATATATTACAGTATATTACAATTTTGATAATTTATAGTTTTTGTAATTGTTTTTTATTTTTATTCAAGTAAATAAAGTAGTTATGTTTATATTTGTAATTTCGGTCCAACTTATTTTCTTATTTTTTCTTTAATGCTATTAGATTTATGTTACGAAAAAACGAAAATTAAAAAAATAGTTTGTTTACTAAGAATTAGTGTTTTAATGTGTTATATAACTTGCAAATTAAATCATATTTCTATATGTGATATCAATAGATTAAATTCAAGATAATACTTTTCAATTTGATAATAGACTAAAAAAACAAAAAAAATAATAATAATCGATCTTTATAAAAAAAACTTGTTATAGTAATTTATATTGAATTCAAGTTTGTTTAATTTAATCAAAGTAAATAAAAACATTAGAAAAACCACAAATAACTATAATAAGGGAAAAATATAAAACAAAAATTGTAATATGAAAAAACCTTAGAAAAAATATTAGAAAAACCATAAATAAATAAAAATAGAAAAAATAATAAAAAAATAAAAAGGTGAAAAAAATAAAATATATTACGAAAATAAATATGAAAAAATCTAAAAAAAACTCTAATATACTCTATATATACACTAAAATTTTGAAAACAAAAGGTAAAAAGGTTAAAAAAAATTGTTGAAAAATAAAGTTAAAAATGAAAATAAATAAAGTATATATATATAAAGAAAATAAAAAATGTACATATATTTATAAAAAAAACCAAAAATAAATAAAGTATACAAAAAACGAAAAATAAAGTTAAAAACCCATGTGGTGTAATTTTTTCAAACCTCAAGGACTAAATTTGAACTTTTTAGGACTAATTTTGCAATAAAAGTTAACCAACTTAACCATGAAACTCGTTAAGTGGGCTAGAGTAATAATTCTACGAGAAAGTTGTGACCATAGCAATAATAAAAAAAATATCAGAGCTTTTTCCAATTATGCGTTAAAATTACCCAAAAACTAAAATGTTTATATACATGATATTATAATTATATAAGATGAAATTTTAGTAAGAACCAAATATAAACAATATTTATCATTCATATACCTATTATCCTAACTCTCGCATTTAGGACAATAATCTTTTATTTTAATTAACTTATACTCAAGTCTTAAAGTATATACATTAAAACTTTCAACTGTAAATACTCATATTTATATATCAACTTGAATATTTAAAAATTATAGCTATATAATACATTAACTTAGCATAATCACTGTTGATATTAGTTTAAAGATATTGAACAAATTAATGATATAATATTTAAAAAGTAATTTTAGTTATATAGCTCTAATCAAAACTAAAATATGTTTATATACATGATATAATATAAAATGAAATTTTAGTAAGAACTTTTTTTTTTTTTTGAACACGAGATCAGTTGGTTAGAAGTTAGACCTCCAAAGTTAGAAAACTCCATTTGCCCATGTTAGATATTTGTCTCTATCAACCGGCTAGCCCCAGTTGGTTTTAGTAAGAACTTGATATAAACAATATTTATTATTCATATACGAATTATCCTAACTGTAGCCTTTAAGACAGTAATCTTTTATTTTAATTAATTTATACCCAAGTCTTCTAGTATATATATATATATATATATATATATATATATATATATATATATATATATATATATATATTAAAAGTTTCAACTCATAATTTATTTACTATACTCATCTTTATATATCAACTTGAATATTTTAAAACTATAGCTATATAATACATTAACTTAGTATAATCACATTTGGTATTAGTTTAAAGATATCGAGCAAATTTAATGATATAATATTTAAAAGTAATTTTAGCTATATAGTTCTAATAAAAACTAAAATGTTTATATACATGATATAGTACTTATATAAAATAAAATTTTAGTACGAACCGGATATAAACAATATTTATCATTCGAATATGTATCATCCTAACTCTAGCCTCTAGGACAGTAATCTTTTATTTTAATTAACTTATACTCAAGTCTTCAAGTATATACATTAAAAGTTTCAACTGATAATTTATTTACTGTACTCATATTCATACATACACTTGAATATTTAAAAATTATAGCTATATAATATATTAACTTAGTATAATCACTATTGGTATTAGTTTAAAAATATTGACCAAATTTAATGATATAATATTTAAAAGTAATTTTAGTTATATAGTTTTAATAAAAACTAAAATGTTTATATACATGATATAATAATTATATAAAATGAAATTTTAGTAAGAACCGGATATAAACAATATTTATCATTCATATACATACCATCCTAACTCTAACCTCTAGAACAATAATCTTTTATTTTAATTAACTTATACTCAAGTCTTCAAGTATATATATTAAAAGTTTCAACTCTTACTATACTCATATTTATATATCAACTTGAATATTTAAAAACTACAGCTATATATATATAATACATTAGCTTATAATCACTATTGGTATTAGTTTAAAGATATTGACCAAATTAATTTAATGGTATAATATTTAAAAGTAATTTTAGTTATATGGTTCTAATAAAAACTAAAATGTTTATATATATATATATATATATATATATATATATATATATATATATATATATATATATATATATATATATATATATATATATATATATATATATATATATATTAAAAGGTTAAGCATGAAAAATCAAACGTTCAATTTGTGAATTATCAACTTTTTGTCTAATTACTCTTTCTAAAAATAACTGTGTCTAATTAATTAGGTGGGTTCCGTATTCCAAAATCATTTATATGTTATAAGGAAGCTGATTTGTACCTTCTTAGCTCCAATTCTCTCTCATGTAACATCACACTCAAATATGTTTGGTTTAAAGGGAGCTTGATGTTCAAGTCTTTGGCATACTCAAGCATTCCAGGAAATATAATGTCAAATCCAAATGGAGATAGTTGACTCTTGTCATTAGCTGAAGCAAAATTCGACTCGATATAATGTAGACCTGCAATAAAGATTCGATTGTTTATCTGGAATATTCTGGGGACTACATAATTAAACAGACAGCGGGAGGAAGAGAGCACACTGCCACGTACCTTTGTTAATTTGATCTTTCCCGACATTCCATCGTTTTAATGCAAGTACACATGCTAATGTAGAAGAGAGAGTATCTTTAATTAATGGAGAATGATGAGGAAGAAGACCCCATGAACCATCATCAAGCTGATTATCCATTAACCAGTTCAGACAATGAGGGAAACAAGGGTACTCGGGAGAGTTTGGAGAAGGAACCATGGCTACCCAGGCTGTGTCATATGAAGAAACTGAAAGTTCCACATTACTGAATAGTTTTCGGATTCGTTCTTTGGTCATATCAAAGGTCTGCATGCATATATACAGTTTGTGGATGATACATATGTTTATGTTTCGAATCACATGTACATAATATTCAATGAACATGAGGAACGATGATCATACCATAACAGTAGGGTTAACTTGCCCAGCATGTGAAGAAGCTGAAAGAAAAAAAAAATTAAAAATAAGCCACGAAATGAAGATCGATCCAGAAAATATGAATCCACAACTCAAAGAAAACCTGTATGAATATCCGATGGAATGTCCTGCTTCATGCAACAACCAACCACCCGTGACTGGCGTGTTGGGGGCGATGAAGGGACCATGATGGATGATATGCTAAGTGCCATATTCATTGATGTTTTGTTGAGAAATATATTCCCTAAAACCACAAGTATCAAAAACCCCTTTTAATAAAGAAAGTCATTATCCAGATATAAGTTACCTGAGACTGAGAAGAACAGCTGTTGACGAAAGAGAACCCTTGAGAAGAGGAGTTATAGGGAGAAGATGAAGAAGGTGTAACGACGATGATTATATGATATCAATATATGCTAAGCAACTTGCATGAACCATGTATTATTTTTTTCATACATAGCAGACTGATATGGTTGGGTCAATATACAGGCTGAAATAAGAGCGTCCAATATTTACTAATTTGCCCGACAGCTATAACTTGTCATCATTATTATAGTTACAGCATCTCCGGTCAATGCCCGGTCTAAAACTATATCAATGGGTCGCTGGGTATCACCATTTGGATTCTGAAAACCAAGTTAATTATAATAAGGAGCAAAGTTGTTGGGCATCTCGGGTCAATGACATATGTAAGTGTGTGGTCTACTTATACGTAACTTTCATCACTAATATCCAAATAAGAGTATTATTCTTTGAGTTATTTTTTCCATATCTAAATTTGATGAAAAAGTCTATGGTTATATATATATATATATATATATATATATATATATATATATATATATATATATATATATATATATATATATATATATATATATAGAGCTTAGGGAATATGTGGCTATCATGTACCTAATGTTAGATATAGAACCGTCAAAAACTACATGCTAAACTTTGTATATATTTTTATGGAATTTTATAAGTTTAATTATACACTACAAACCATGTATAAAAATATTTTACCAACTACTTGTAGGTCTTCAAATTGAAATTTAATACAGAAAATTACATCAAAAGATTGAAAGTGCTCATTAAAAAACCCACTAAACCTCTTTCCATAAGCCATGATAGAAAAAATATACAAGTACATATAAGATATGTATTGAAGGAATTTATTAAACTTACTAGAGGTCTAATAAAAATACATTCAAAATAGATAGATATTGAGGATAAATCACGAAATCAAGTATAATATGAGTTCAAAGGCAATAAGAAGAAGCGAACAATGAAAGAAAAATTTGTTGTTTAATCAAAATGAAATCAATTTTAGTGGTTCTATACCTAACATTACATACATTACAGCCATATATTCACTTTTCTTTTATATATATATATATATAATATATATATATATATATATATATATATATATATATATATATATATATATATATATATATATATATATATATATATATCCAAAAGGTGTTGACATGTACAATAAAATTTCACTTAATAACATTTTGTTCATTTAGGATCCTTATGCATGTATTTTGTTGTATATACTACTACTATTTTCAACTATTTGTCATAATTAACTTCTATTCTAAGATAGGACTCTATATTAACGTTTTTTTTTTTTTTTTCATAAGGTTTGTACAAGGTTTGTACGTATTACTAAAAAATATTATTTTTCGGCGTTAGTTTTCATCATAAAATTCTTTAGTAAAAGAGTTTCACCGACATTTACACTTATTAGGACTTTGACTTTGTGACGGATTTTCAATGAATTCCTGGCGGATTTCCGATTGATCTGTAGTGGATTAATTTTTAACGAATTTTGACGTATTTAAATTAAATTTTAAACTTAACCGTAAATTTTGAAAGATTATACCTGCAACCTTGGTACACCAAGTAGGTCCCTGCAAAGAAAATACGATATTCACATTCTCCTATCATGCAAAATATTTTCATGTTGATCATGTTTTACTAAATCATGAAATACTTTAAGAAATAGTTTTTATATGTGATAAGGAAAAAAAAAACTATGCAAATAAAGACGGTACAAGAAAATTTATCTACTACGAGACCTAGTGATTACATGTGTCATCGGTATAGATGGTGTTATGAGGAAGACATGTTGCCATAGGTGTGAAAAAAAATTGGAATTTTAAGATACGACTTTAAAATGTAATCACAGCAAGTTAGGGGGAACGAAAGTGAAAATAGACGCATTTTAAGTTATGGTGACGTTCTTTTCGTCTCCACAAAACAAGAATTAAAAATATTTTGTCTTTTTTAGTCAATTTATTGAAGTAAGGAGCAACACTGTTTCTGTTAAGTGTATGGCGACAACATGTTGCAACAAGCTAGGCGGGAGAGAAAGTGGAAATAGACGTGTTTCTAAAAAAGCTATGGTGTGTCATCTTTCCTTAAAATAAAAATAATTTATAAATTAAATACAATCAAAGGCATTGTGACTTGTTTTTTTAATTTGTTCAATTTTAATAAGAAATCCCTTTCCACGATATTTGTTGCAGCGCCGCAAAACAAGTTTTTAGACTCTAAGCCACTATAAATCTTCATGGATATTAAATAAACATGTCTTGTACATTTCTTAAGTTCAACGTGACGAAGTATGTATCTCACAATTTCTAACATACCCTAAAACAAGTACGAAACATTGGAAAATTGATTATTATATATAAAGAAAGCAAGAAAGCAAGGGAATTATCAATACTTTGTGTCGGTCTAAACTGACATCCTTTTCCACCATCAATTCCTAAGTCATCAACCAACAATTATAAAAACCATGTCCAATTATCCTTGTTTTCAATGTTTACTACATTACACGCTATTGAATACACATGGTTTTCATCATCTCTTTAGCAATCAAAAGCTTACCTTTTTCTTGGCCCTTAGGAAACAACCATCTAATTATATTACACGCCTACAACGTTAAAAAAACCTTTGAAATTAGTTCTTCTTATTCATATTAGCAGTTACTCTTATTTTACATGTGTTATCTAGGTTAGACCTTAGAATTTTGTGTGCATAATTTTTTTTTTGGAAAGGGAACTTCCCTAACGAGGGTTTCCGGACCAGCTTTCGCGCACCGACTAATCCCCCGCTGCAAACATAAAGCTTTGTCTCATGCCCTGGAGTCACTGCAGGCGAACCTCCATGGCCACAAGGGCTGAGTGGTGCCAGGATTTGAACATGGGTCAATATGTTATCCACCATATCTTCCACATGCTTTACCAAGTCACCACAACCCAAGTGGTTTTGTGTGCATAATTCCACACCGTGTTACAATGTTCTTCAAGTTTAAGTGTTTAACCTCAATCATTTGCTTGCCCTTGCCCTTGATACGTCAAAGTCATTTTAAGCTTCATGATTATGTCTTAGAGATAGTACTTAGCTACCCAATTACAACTAACACAATATATAAAGTTGTAGTTCCTTGCACATAGATGTGTATGAACCTTAGCTAGCCAATTACAACTAACACAATATATAAAATTGTAGTTCCTTGCACCTAGGTGTGTATCAATCATGGATTTAATTTGAAAAGAATGTTCATTATACATCCATGTTGCATACACCCTAAAATGACATGGATTTTTGTCATTTTTTGTAGCACCTTGTAATGATTATGGTCTTATCAAACTAAGAAACCAAAGTTGGTACTCATTAGTTGGTTGATGCAAATCTCAATAATGCAGGAGATTTGACAACTCTCAAATAATAATTTATGTTTCACATTTGGATTATAAACTTGGGTTATTGTCATAGAAGCCCTACTAACTTTTTTATTTGGTTTTAAATGGACCATGAACTATTTTTTTTGTGTCTTTTAAGCCATTGAAGTATAAAATTATATGTCAGTAAAGCCATTTTGCAGAAATTGAAGCGGTTATCCGGTAAAAAGAAGTTGATACGCCATTTAACCAAGTAAAATGTTTATGCGGACTTTAACCAAGGGAATCAAACCTTCATTCCAAGCCCCTCTCATCACCATCATCTCTCCCAAATCCAAAGAGCATGGATTAGTTGTCTTCATCACTTGCAAATGATTTGTATGACAGATCTTTTGAACCCCATGAAGCTCTTTCTCCAGAACGACCCCAATCTAATTTACAATTCAACTCAAGACCCTAATCCATGGTCGTGTGTTCCATTAATCAACTATGCTCAACGATAACTTTCTAACTATATTTAGGGGTTTTGTATAATCTCCATTACTCCATTCCATCGATATAATTGATAACCATTTCTATCAATTTCACCATCGACGAAGATGTCATCTAAAGTTTCATTATCATCCTACAAAGATAAGAAAACCACCATCGATTCAGCACATTGCTTACCCCAACTCACAACAGCATCTTCCGCAACCGCTAATTCATCAAATGCACTCCGCTGATGCGTGTGATGGAATCAACGGCTGAGAAAATCGATGATCGACAGACTGACGGGGCTTGGTTACACCTGATTGTGATCCAAGTATAATTTGGAACCTTGTATTTATTGATGTTTTGATTTATGTAATGATTATGAGTTGAATGAGAGTTCGAATAGGCCTTTGAGGCTTTGGATTGTTGGATATGTGTGCCAGTGTTTGCTTCATATGATTTTTGTACGTATTGAGTACAAACACATATACCAACATCGTTCATTGGCTTATGGTGACAATTTGAGGTTGGAATTTAATAATAGAAATCCAAACCCAAATTCGAAATCGAAAAAGAAATAGCATATTAGCTATGAAAAAGGGAATCATATGAATCTGATGTTGAAGTTTCATATCCTTTGTTTCCAAAATAATAATATATAAAAAAAAATAAAAAAAAAAAAAAAAAAAACTGGAATCTTTGATAACCAACGATATAATTTTTGATCAGGAGACGTGATGGTGGAAGTTCGTTCGCAAAACACATCGAATTTGCCTGAGTTTTGGGATAGCAGGTGCAACGGACGACTCCTTTTCAAATCAACTTCGATTTCATTGTAATGCTCGACCAATGATTTGAACATTTTGTAGAAGTCTTAGAGTGGTCAATGGAAACCTTTGACTATTAAAAGTCAATGTATACATTATTTACAATGTAACCGAGAAACCTAGTAATTCAAGCAAAATGGTATTTTAGACAGATAAAATTCGAGTTTAGTGGTCTAACAGGTCCAAAAAAAAAAGTTAAACGGTCATTTAAAACCAAACGTGAAAGTTTCATGTGTTTTTGTGACAATAACCCTATAAACCTTGTATTCTACAACATGAACTTGATCTTCATCTTAAATATGTTAATGCTAATCATGCTTCTTAGCATCATGTTCCACGCAAGGTTGTAGAACTCTCTACTCGGTAGGTAACTGTTCGGCCAACTATCGAGTAGCAAGTACTCGATGAGTAATTAGATTTAATAATTCATATAGAAATATTTTTAAAGAAATTAAATATGTCAAGATCATATGTTAAAATCATAAGTTGATTTAAAATATAGAGTAAATTACTGAAATCGTCCCTATGGTTTGATCAAAATTGCACGTTTGGTCCCTAACGTTTTTTTTGCACTCGGATCGTCCCTATGGTTAGTTTTTGTTGCGCTTTTCGTCCCTATGGTTTGGTCAAAATTACACGTTTGGTCCCTAACTTTATGTATGTAAAGGACGAAAAACGCAACAAAATCAAACCACAAGGACGATCCGAGTGCAAAAGAAAAGTTAGGGATCAAACGTGTAATTTTGATCAAACCATAGGGATGATTTCAGCAATTTACTCTAAAATATATAATAAAATTAGATATATGTAAATTCACAGAAACTAAAAAACACATAATAATCTCATTTTGTGAATAATTACTGAAAACTATATATATATATATATATATATATATATATATATATATATATATATATATATATATATATATATATATATATATATATATATAGTAATAATCACATGTGCGTGTTAAAAAATAAATCATTAAGTATATTATTCATATTAATCACCGAGTTAGTCGAATTTTACAATACTACTCACTTCAGTAACAGGCCAATCAGGGAGTACTCGGCAAAGTAATCGGTTAACACGACGAGTTTTACAACACTACTCCCACATCACAATTAGTGTTCTTTAACAAGTTTCCATACATAACATGCTAAGGAAATGATCATTACAATTAGTAGATGTGGGTTTGCAATCCAAGAAAGAAATGTCAATAAGTTCATCACCGAAAACAATTTCCTTTGTTATTAATCAAAGTAAATGTATCAACTACCCTACATCTAAGCTAACATGCCTCCCATCTTCTTCCTTCATCTTCAACTACCCTAGATTTAAGCCAAATTCTATAGAATTCTACTTTTAAACAAAATCCTGAATCAATACAAAAAAAGATTTTCAATGATGAAACCCTAATCGCATGATCAAAGATTATATATGATCTTTTTTCACTGTCATAATAATGATAGATTATTTCCAACACCAAAAACCCTTGAGTTCTTCCTTTCGTGCTCCACTGCCCTCCGATTTATCAAACTACTCTATTTAGTCGTTTTAAACTATTAATCCCACAAAATAAACAGCATTAACTAGCAACCACCATTTATTTTTCCAATTTAAGATTGACAATATCAATGATCTTTCAAAACAATAATCCTTTATTTACAAGTCTTCCTCAAGCATCAACTCATGGGACACAGGTTCATAAATAATTTCCTTCACAACATCAAGAATGGCATTTCCAGTGAACCCATCATCAGTCGCATAAAAAAGATTCAACACATTGCACATGTTCCAAAATACATCTTTGCATACTCTTGGAACAACACTTCCTTTTGTTTCCAAAACTAATTTCATCATCTCTTTCCTTTGACTTTTGGTCAAAATCTTCATCTCCTCTACAACCTCTTCTTCCACACTCCCACTCTTTCCATCACTCATGTACAATGCTACAGCATTCAATTTCCCCGCCTTCATTTCCCTCTGCATTCACACAACTCATTACCAGTGTCAGTATCAGTAGCAGTAACAGTGTCAGTATCAGTAACAGTAACAGCTACCTTGAAGCTATGGATATCATTCATGAGACGACCGCGAGTGCTCATAAGCTCATAAAGCTTGTGATACTCAGAGCTTTGAACAACTTCCTTTGACAATTTTGCCCCTAAAAAGTAAAGAGTAGGGAGGACAATTGGGCCTAAAGCAAATGACACATAACCATTTTCCATATACTCATTTATTGTTGGAATTGAACCATCTTTTGCCCATATGGCTTCTCTGAACATACTCTTCACCAAATCCAACCACTGTTCAAACAAATAACTGAATAAATAGTAATACCATTTTTTTATTTTTTTGTAAATTTTAATATGAGAAAGGAATTCATCTTACAATTTCAATAACATGGCTTGTTATGTTGCGTTCTTGAATCTTAAAAGCTTTGTCTCCAATCCACCAGACTGCATCCTTAAGTGCTAAAAATAAAATGCCAACTTCCTCTGAACAGCAATCATTTTCAACATTTACATTCCATCTGTGGTTTATAAAAGTATATGATAAAAGATTATCTGGATATATAATATACTTAAACTATATATATAATTGGATGTATTATCTATATACTTTTCAATGATTTGAACAAAGTTCACCAGTTCATCCATAGATCCTCCAACATCAAAAAAGTCATCAATTACTGTAGTGAGGATGCTACTTTTGGCCCATGAAATTCTGGCATCTGATAACTCAGGGGAAGAAAGAAATGAAGCAGCAGAAAAGTAACAGTAGGCTGTCTTCTGTCTAGCAAATTTGAGCTTGTCTAATCTATTCTCCACCACCCACCTTTTAAATTTACATCAAGATTTATAAACTTGTTAAAAAGTTATGGGCTTTAACCATAAGTTCAAAAAAAGAAAAAAGGGATCACTGATAAAGCTTTAGAATTTAGATACAGACCTTTCAAGATCTTTTAGTTCTTCACGATAAACAGATTGGCATGCATTGAAATCTTGCACTGCTAACTTTAGGTAATCTTTGTTGCTGATGTTTGATGAGCTGGAATTTGAGTACAAGATTTTAAGGATTATGCAGTTGTGAAATATAAAATCAGAATTGTTTAAGACTTGAAAATAAGAGTTAAGACATTCACCTATATGTAGTTTTCAAGATTCTTGTATGGTTTAAATTGTAATGCTCTATGTTTCTTCTGGTGGACATGCGTTCTAGGCTGCCATTGAAGGGGAACTTAAGAGCATCATCCACCTGATTTAGTAAGAAATTGAGATATGTGGATTCTTTCCTTAAAAGGGAGATAATTTGTCAAAGTGGATAGTAGAACACCTCTTTGAGAATATAATTAGAGAGCTTGTTATTTGAAGGGAGATAACTTGTCAAGTTTTGTTCTCTAAAAGCTAACTCCTCTTGATATATGATCTGTGATGCCTTATAAACTTCAAGAGATGTGTATACGTCTTTGAAAGGCTTTTCAGGTGAATTCATGTAATCCCCCTCTTTGATGATTTTAGCCAATGGATCTAAACATAAGTAATGAAACAAAAAAGATGAGAAGATTTAAACAAATGACTTGTCATTTGTTTGTTTTTTTAAGAAATATACCCGAAGAGACTTCATACCCATTGCTTCTTAATACCCGAAAAGCTAAAGCACAAGTGACAACATCCATGAATATTTGCACATCCCCCTGCTCCCAACATCTATTTTTTTGTGGATTTTATCATACTTCCAACTCATGAAATTCAAGAATTTTGTTTGTAGTTAACACATTATGGATATGAAGTATGAAGTATGAACATTACCTATATGTTTCATCTAAAACATTTTGGATTTCCACCATGAAATGTCGTTTGATTCCCAATCTTTCAAGTGTGTCAACCATGGAAAGCCTCACATATAAATCAATAGGGTAAACTGTTGGGACTGATATTTACCACACAAAAACACTTTACACTTGTTAGCAAAATGTAAGATTTGAGTGACTATATATGAAGTATGAAATGAATACCTGCATTTCCAAATTTGTCCAAGAGTGAAGTTAGATAATGAAGACAACCAGCATTTTGATGATGAATAAGAACAGAAGCTGTTGCTGAAGGTGAGTTGAAAAGAGAGCCATTCTTCATTTGATATTTCATCACCATGTTCCAGTCATTCAAATTTCCAAGTCCTTCTGAGATATATGCCAAGTATGCTTCCCTCCCATTTGAATGACATCTAAGTGATGAATGATGATAACAAATTAAGAATTTTGATAAGTATAATAGTATATGTTATATAGTAATATAATAACTAGCATACCTTCTTAGCTCCAATTCTCTCTCATGTAACATCACACTCAAATGTGTTTGGCTTAAAGGGAGTTTTATATCCAAATCTTTTGCATACTCAAGCATACCAGGAAATATGATGTCAAAACCAAATGGAGATGCTTGATTTTTGTCAGTGACTGAAGCAAAATTTGACTCGATGTAATGTAAACCTGCAACAAGAATCGATTGTTTAAGTATCAGGAGAATACGAACAGGTGATGACAAGGAAGAGAGAGAATTGGTCATATTACTCACATACCTTTGTTAATTTGGTCTTTCCCAACATTCCATCGTTTTAATGCAAGTACACATGCTAGTGTTGAAGAGAGAGTATCTTTAATCAATGGGGAATGATGAGGAAGAAGACCCCATGAACCATCATCAAGCTGATTATCCAGTAACCAGTTCAGACAATCAGGGAAACAAGGGGATTTGGGAGAGTTTGGAGAAGGAACCATGGCTACCCAGGCTGTGTCATATGAAGAAACAGAAACTTCCATATTGTTGAACAGCTTTTGGATTCGTTCTTTGGTCACATCAAGGGTCTGCATATAATTTGTAGATGATATCGGTTTATTATTTGAAGAAAACTAAGTAACTTAGGCAACTGAATGCAATCAGTAATACCATGACAGTAGGATTAACTTGTCCAGCTTGTGAAGAAGCTGCAAACAGAAAACCTGAATTAAGCCAGGAAATGAAGGGCCACAAAATGTGAATCCCAGAGATGATCAACCCAACTATGGTATAATCGACTAATTAAAGCGAAAG